AACGGCGGGGATTCGCAGCAGTGTTTCCGGACAGCATCGTGCGGGGCATTTACTATCTTCAGCTAGCATTTTTACTGCTGAACTGTATGCCATTCTTGCAGCACTTATTCGTATCGCATTTATGCCTGTGTCATCATTTGTAGTAGTCTCAGACTCCCTTAGTGCTCTACAGGCTATACGAAAATTTGATACATCTCATCCCCTAGTTCTCCGTATCCAACTTTGGCTACGCCGTATCTCTACCAAACATAAAGATATTGTTTTTTGTTGGGTCCCTGGTCATGTCGACGTACAGGGCAATGAACAGGCAGACACTGCTGCGCGGTCAGCAGTACATGACTTACCAATTTCCTATCGAGGTGTTCCATTTCTGGACTATATTGCTGCAATAGCTACCCACCTTCGCACCCGTTGCAACACGTTGGTCAACTCTGCTCGGTTAACAAACTTCATTCTATTAAACCGAGCATAGGTTACTGGCCATCTTCTTGTCATCAGTGCCGAGGTTGGGAGACCACTCTCTCCCACCTTCGCATTGGCCACACTCGTCTTACTCATGGGTATCTCATGGAGAGGCACCCTGTTCCTCTCTGTGAGCAGTGTCAAGTTCCAGTATCGATTAGCCACATTCTGTTAGACTGCCCTCTCTATCAACAAGCACGCAGAATTTACCTCCAACGTCGTCTTCGTTCTACTACTCTCTCTTTACCTTCCGTTCTTGCTGATGGACCCTCCTTTAATCCTGACTCTCTCATTGACTTCTTGACAACGACTGATTTACTCCACAAACTCTGATGATACTTTTCGCACTCCCCTCAGCCCTTTCTAGTTCAGTCTCTTGCTGCCCTTTACCCTTTCACCATCCACTACCCCGCTGTTATCCGTAACCTATTACTCGTCCATCTCCCTTTTGCCACCTGATGCCCTCGCTTCCTTCCTGCCCTGCAGCGCTGTATAGTCCTTGTGGCTTAGCGCTTCTTTTTGATTATAATAATAATAATATGGTAGAAGCATCTTTAAGTACTGTTGTGATTTTGAATAAGAAAATGAAATAAAGGAAATTTTTATTAGTGTGAAAGAGCTATATATTTTGCTGAACAAGTTTTATCCTACTCAAAGGTACATTTGATTTACCTGGACTGTCTATTTTATCTTGGTGCTTTTTTCATGTTGGTTACAAGATGGTCTTCTTAATGTGGTAATTGGCATGTGTGTTGGTATAATCCCTTAAGGAGGGATTCAACATGTTTAGTGGGTCAGAACTTTCATATATCCTACAGGTAACTAATCTTGAACCAGCACCTGTTCCCTTCTATTTCCAATTCCCTGTATGACCCCAGTGGTTGTAGCTCTTCCCCATAAATATACTTAGTTGCTAGTAGCATTTTTGGTGACAAATGTGCTTTTCTAATCAAGCCACATCCGAGCTGAATATTGGTCACACTAATTCTCCTATGAACGTTTATGGTGCATTGTGCATCCCCATCCCCTCTTCCCCACCTGCTAAGATTAAGTATCTTAAGATTGTTTTGATCAGAGAGCAAGCAAGCAAGCATTTTCATCTTTAAACACTTTACCATGCTCAGTCAATTTGCCATCTTCTGAAAGAAGGTGACTTTTATAATTTTATTAGTTTGGTATTGCTGTCAACAGTCAAGCTATTGTATGTAACCATTGTTTCTCATACATGTGATGTATTAGTGGGGATTCTATAGCTGGTAACTAATTTCATACCCAGAACTTTTGGCTTTAATTACAGCCCCCTCCCCCCCCCCCCCTTTTTTTTTTTGTACCATTCATCACTGGATGTTCCCTTTCCCTATGGGGAAGGGAACAAGTAATAATAGTTATTGAACATCAGCAGGCATAAGCATTACATTGGATGAAATTAAGGAGAGTTGTCTCTGGTATTTTACATGTGTGTTTGAATAAGGTAATACATAGTGATTTAAGAAGACAGGCAAAATTTAGTACAGTGGAAATGTTGTTTGATGTAGAATCTAGTCAGCCTTTGGGGAGACAACTAGTGATGGTATATGTCATGCCTGGTTTACCAAGTCTTGATCACTCCTTAGCCAAAACTAAACATGAATGTATTAATATTATTATGTTTTCAGTACCATATGGCTGAAGGATGTAAAGGGTATGGCTGACAGAATCATCTCAATGCGTACAAAACTAAAAGAAAATCTTGCCAAAGAGGGCTCAGTGAAGAACTGGTCACACATTACAGATCAGATTGGCATGTTTTGCTTCACTGGAATGACACCTGATCAGGTAACCACATGAGACGATGCCTTTATAAAAGTTTTTACCAATCACTAGCAAATAAGAGTTTGAGTAAAATAAAAAAAAAATTTTTTATTTCTAGGTAGAAAAGCTGACAAAGGAGTACTCTGTGTATTTGACCAAAGATGGACGTATATCGGTGGCAGGGATTGCATCTAGTAATGTGGAATACCTAGCTTATGCAATGCATCAAGTTACCAAGTAACACGTTGAGCTTCAGAATGTCTCCTTTTACAATATTTAATAAATTATGTAATACATGATGAAAACTAGTCATGGAAACAACTGAAAATTATTAACTTCTGTAAAACAGTAACTAATAAATGCATTTCTCAATATTAAATAGCAAAGTTAAAAAAAAAAAGATAGCCAGCAAGAATTTGTACATATGTTTCAGGAGTTGGTTCAGCTTCAGGCATTTATCTTCAAATATGTGCAAGACAGGTATACAATACCGACAAGATGAAAGTTAACTTTCATCTTCAAATATATATTATGCAGTTTGAGTTTTCCTCTGCCACAGTATTTTTCTGATTCGTGTAACTCACTTTTTAAGTTGATTTAAAGGGATTTGTAAATTTACATATCTAGTGATTGACATACCTCTAAATATTATGAAAAATAAAAACACTTAACAATTTACACATGTACTTTGAAGAGTAAACATGACATTTTGTCCTGTCCTGGACTATTTTCAATTTGCAGCTGATTTTGTAATGGTCTAGAATGGACCAAAACAATTTTCTCTAAAATTTAGGTTAGTGTTATATGTGAAAAATTATTATAGAAAAAGTTTTCTTATACTTGCCATTTGTCAAATTAACTTTTCTACTTAAATGCCAATTGAAAATAAATTTTTAAGTGCACTACTTCCACTGGTTTACATATGCACATACTGAGGCAGAATAATATATAAACAGTTGACAGGAAAACCAGAATTAATCAGTGTACAATGTAAGCTGCCATGAAAAGTTTTGTTTGTTCATATTGTATATAAGTACAGTGGACCCCCGCTAACGATCACCTCCCAATGCGACCAGTTATGTAAGTGTATTTATGTAAGTGCGTTTGTACGTGTATGTTTGGGGGTCTGAAATGGGCTAATCTTCACAATATTCCTTATGGGAACAAATTCGGTCAGTACTGGCACCTGAACATACTTCTGGAATGAAAAAATATCGTTAACCGGGGGTCCACTGTATTATTATTATGGTTTAAGCTTAAAGCACTAAGACCTTCAGTTGTATAATTGTGAATAAACTTAAATTCATAATATTTTTTTTAAATCTCAGATTTATTATATAAAATTTATTGTACTTGATTGCAGTGTATAAATAAACCTCAGTTTTAGACATTATGACTAAGTATTATTGTTGGTGACTGTATATAGTTGAATAAAGTGAAAATAAAGTCTATTATAAGTATATACCTAACCATATTGAGAATTATTTATATTTAATATAATACACCTTCAGGAACATATTTTGCAAGCGTTACAAATTAAGTAGATTATTATTATAATCAAAAAGAAGTGCTAAACCACAAGGGCTATACAGCGCTGCAGGGCAGGAAGGAAGCGGGGGTATCAGGTGGCAAAAGGGAGAGAGGCAATTAGGTTGCGGAGAACAGTGGGGCAGTGGATAGTGCAGGGGTAGAGGGTAGCAAGAGATTGAGGTAGAAAGGGCTGAGAGGAGTGTGAAGGTATCGTCATCAGCATTTGTGGAGTAAGTCAGTTGTTGTCAAGAAGTCAATGAGAGAGTCGGGATTAAAGGAGGGTCCATCAACAAGAAGGGAAGGTAAAGAGAGAGTAGTAGAGTGGAGACAATGTTGGAGGTAAATTCTGCGTACTCGTTGATAAAGGGGGCAGTCTATAATGTGGCTAACAGATACTGGAACCTGACACCTCTCAGAGAGGAACAGGGTGCCTCTCCATGAGATACCCATGAGTAAGAAGAGTGGCCAATGCGAAGACGGGAGAGAGTAGTCTCCCAACCTAGACACTGATAAGAAGACAGCCAGTAACCTATACTCGGTTTAATAGAATGAAGTTTGTTACAGAGTAGATTAGACCAACGTTGTTGCCAACGGGTGTGAAGGTGGGTAGCTATTACAGCAAAATAGCCCGTAAATGGAACACCTCTATATGAAACTGGTAGGTCATGTACTGCTGACCGTGCAGCAGTATCTGCCTGTTCATTGCCCTGTATGTCAACATGACCAGGGACCCAACAGAAAACAATATCTTTATGCTTAGTAGAGATACGGTGTAGCCAAAGTTGGATACGGAGGACTAGGGGGTGAGGTGCATCAAATTTTCGTATAGCTTGTAGAGCACTAATGGAGTCCGAGACAACCACAAATGATGACACAGGCATAGATGCAATACTGATAAGTGCTGCAAGAATGGCATACAATTCAGCTGTAAAAATGCTAGCCGAGGATAGTAAATGTCCTTGCACGACACTGTCCGGAAACTGCTGCGAATCCGACGCCATCGGAAGACTTAGAGCCATCTGTGTACACTGAGATGGCATGAGAATGAGAGCAGAAGTGGTCAAGAAAACGAGAGCGGGGAGCTACCATAGGCAGTTGGGCTTTCACGCAAGGGAGTGAGAAAGAACAGACTCGAACAGCTGGAACTTCCCAGGGGGGCAGGGAAAAGCGAGATGCTACATGAACATAGATTATTATTATAACGAGGGGGAAGCACTAAACCCGTAGGATTATACAGCGCCTATGGGGGGATGGAAGGCAATCAGGCTTAATTCAGGGAACTGGAGCACAGATCCAATTCCCTAGATCAGGAGCCCCTCACCAGCGTCAAGGCCTCTTCAAGGGGGGCTCCTTGGCGTGGTGAAGAGGCTCTTGGTCTGAGGAATTAGCCCTGTCGGTCTTCTTCCTCAGACCGAACCTAATTACCCCCCATTCTCCCCTCCCCTATCCCATCCTCCCCATCCTCCCCTTTTTCCATTCCTCCTCCTCCTCCTCACCCCTCCCTTTTGGCCTTCGGGATTTCTCCCACAGGCGCACTAGTTCCTAGGTAGGGGAAAGGACACCGGGGTCCATCCCATTCCGTTGAGGTTCTTGGCGGTGGCGTAGTTTGCTGTGGAATCTGGATTGCCTGGGGATGTCCCGATCCCTCTCCTGTATCCCGGAGTAGCTTTGGGTGTCTTTTGGGCGACGGGTGTATCTCTGGAAGCCACCTTTCGGATTCCGGGGGTGGTGGCCGAAGGAGGTATGCTTTGTGGCGGATATCCGGCCGCCCTCTCTTTTGTCCACCGAGGTAGCTCGGCAGATGTGAGGTTGCTATCCCGGATTGCTGGTTTACTGGCATGAAGGGTAGGGTATGGCACGGGTTCCATGCTGCATCTGCGCTACTAGCGGTGTTGAGGTCCTCTTGGGCGCGGAGGGAGATTTCCGGCCCTTTCATTCCTCCTGGGAACTATTCCTCCCCGCTCCCCCCTTTTTTTATTCTTTTTTTTATTTTTATTTTCTTTTCTTCTTTCTTTTTTTTTCTTAAAAACAAAAAGCAAAGGAGTAACCTAACCTGGCAGCCCTAGTCCATGAAACACTCCCCCGGGCCCCTTCTTGAACCGCCCCCCTTTCTGCCCCTCCTTGTGTTTAGACCACTCTTGGGACATCCGATGCCCCTGTACCTCTTGGGGTGCTGTTTCCTCCCCCCCTTTCAGGTACCGGGGCTTCGACGCTCCTTCGATTTGTCTAAACCCCTTCCTTTGACTAGTTTCCCGGTTTTCCCCCTCTAGGGACGGCAATTTTCGATCGCCCGCCCATTTCATGCCAAAACCAAACCCCGGCCACTCCAAAAAAACCCCCAACGTCAATCTCCTTGGGCCCCTTTCTTCCCTTTCCCTTTCCACTGGGAAAAAGACCGACCGTCAAGCCTCCCTCCCCACCCATTTCGGACCACACAATGGACTAAATTCTTTATTTTAAAACCCAAATTTCTTCTTCGCCTACCTTTCTGCCATAGTTTTGGCAAAGCGCTCCTGCGTCATTTTGGCAGAGTTTTCTTTCACGCTCTCTAGCGTACGCGCTCGCATGTTCAGAATCTACCCCAAGCTCATGTCTTTTTTCCCCTTTCGAAATCGATACACCCTACACTTTTGAAAAACATTTTTTCTCTCAATTTTTGTATTTGGTACGTCATTCTGCCCCATCCATAGTCCAACAGAATTTCCAGTCTGTGGCAATGCATTTTGAACAGCGGGAACTCCAGGATCTCCAATCCTAAAAGTAACATTATGCCCTTTCCTCCCCGGGGGCGGAGACTTTTACCCTTGCATTGGGTCTTTTAATTTTTTGAACCCGAGAACCCCGCCCTTGTATATGTCGGGGGACTCGTTACAAGTTCAAAAGGTGATCCTACACCAAACAATGTAAAAATTGCTGGCTTTTGGTCACCCAGCAAAATATTCAGATCAGGGCCGAATGCCCAGTCTGGGGGTGCCGGAGACCTTCTAAACTCTTGAGTCAACCTCCATCTTCCTTTAAATTGTAAGAAGCTCACCCCTACTCCCCCCTTTCCCAAAAGGTCTCTTAAATGAACTGAAATCCTTTCCCTCAAAGAGGCAAAAAAGGCCCCCCTTATCAATGGCAGTTATCATCTCCGCCTCCAAGGAGACTACCCGTGTTTCTTTTCTCATTTTTCCAAACGCCCCCCACTTCTGGGGTCCCATCTTCTGCAGCCTCCTCTGTTGCTACCCCTCCCATAGCCACTACGGCATCTAATTTTTTTGCTGTCCTTGGCCTGACGCCCCGACTAAACTATCTGTTTCCAATCTTGCGCCTTTCCTCACAAGCCCCATATCGAAAGACCTGTACGACACCTAATACCAACGCCCCTCTATCAAAGCCCAAAAAAAATCCACTTCTCAAATTTTTTCCCCCTTTTCCTTTCCTTTTCCACCCCACATTTTTCCTTTCCACTCTGTACCTATTTTTCCCCTCTCTCGGCTCATTACAAGTGTGGAGATTCACCCTCCTCCCGTACTATCCTTCCACCCCCCCCCCCCCCAAATTTTTTTTCCCCCTCTTCTCCCACCCCCCGGTTTCTGCCTCTTCTTCCCCCCCCACTTCATCCCCACCCCCTTACATTTTTTCCCCCCCCCCTTATTTTGGGACAGTCCATTACTGCCCCAAATCTTTACTCACCCTCCTCCCCATCTAAAAATATGGTCCCCATACATTTTTGAATTCAAAACACTTGAAGCCTTTTCAGAATATTTTTGCAGGACAAACCCTTTCATGGACACTGATTCACTTCCTGTTCCCTTCTCTTCCCTCTCCTCCATCTTCCAACCCCCTTCTTCGCAACGCCCCCGTTCCTTCGCTATTGAACATTTTCCCAATGCCCCCACACTTGACTTTTCAAACCCCCTATCCTAGGTGCCTTTTCCCCAAAATTTCCTGATATTTTCTTCATCCCCAAATCAGGGCATTTACAGGGGAAACCGCGGCTAGGGGAAAGGGGGGTGAGCTTAGATGTTCTTTCCAGGTTTTCCCCTGTTGGTGCTTGCTAAAGAACCAAATTACACTCGGCTGTTTTCCAACCTATCTCAGGCTATAATTTATTTATTTTCGGATCCTTTTCAGAGGGGACCTTTAATAAAGTGCCCTTCTACGCAATGATTTTCCCGAAAGTCAACTTTTTGTCCATACCTCGCTGCATTCACTGCAGCCTTATCCCTTGAATAAGTGGTTTACAATATTTTTTCTTTATTCTCCCCTCCTTCTCGGCATTTTCTATCCCAACTTTGCCTTTCTTGTTTCACCCTTTAAACCACCACCATTCTGTTATTTGGGTTTTTTTAAAATGCCCCCCTTTTTTTCCCTTTGGGGGGGGCTCTTTGTGACCACGGGGCATTCAGTTGGAGGCTTTCTCGCCCCACCCCCCCCAAAATGGTTTTTTACGGGTACTCCCACCCTTTTTGATCCTCGAAATCATACTCTCTCTTGCATCGATCATCTCTGCCTTTTTCCCTCCACGCACTAACTTCCCCGGGGCTGTTCTACCAGACTTACTGACAGCGATCATTTCCGTAAATTCTTACTTCTCCTTCCTTTTCACCCCCTTTTCCCGTACCCTCGCGGGAAATTTTGATCGGGCAAATTGGGATCTTTACCCCACACCTCACTCTTTTAGTGAGGTTCCTTCTTCAACCTCCCATTGATAGCTCCTACACTCTTCTCGACATCATTTTACCGCATTTCCATTCTATACCCCAAACCTCGGGCAGGCTTTCTCAAAGGGGTCCCTTTGGGTGGTCTCCTCTTTGTTTGTGCAGTCGTTTAAAACGGCTGCAGGGGCGGGTACCGGTACAATAGAACCGCTGGAGACTTGTTGATTTAACAGAAGCGTGCGATCGCTCCCGTTACCCGGAAGCAAAACGCACTT